TAATATATTACTATATAATTGTATAAGTATAATATTGTATAGTATAAAATAAAAAAATTAAATGTATAGTATAATATTGAATAAATTCTGCATAATATCCATGAATTAGTTGCATGGCATGACCGAAGTGAAACAGGAAGAGGCAACAAAGAGGAAGAAGTCTTTAACAATCGTTGTTTCTACAAGATGTGACTCTTCTTCATCTTTCTTTAATAGTGACTGTGAATAATGTGAAGAAACATCAGATTGTGTGCTCCTGTGTGTGTTAGCTGTTGTAGCAATGATGTGTTTCCATGCAGGCGTTGTCATCTCTCCGTTACTGCACATGCAAATATTTCCACAACTGTTCATGTGAGCTGCATGAATTTATTCTGTCATACATCAGTAATGTTCTCTTTCCTTGAATGCTTTTGTGTTTATCATGAAAACTGGATGTGACAGGAACTTGAAGAGAATTGATCCTGTTTCCATTAGAAAGACTCTCAGACACAGAAGCCCACAAGCAGAAATAAAACATGATGTAATGTGTCTTCATGTCAAACTGACTGAAATGTGATCAAACTATTGATTTATTCATGAAGCTTTATTTAAGCAGGCAAATCTCGTTGAGACCACAGATCTCCCTGCCTGGTCCTCCCGGGCTTAAAGGCAGCCTAACATGCATGTTTTTAGACTGTGGGAGGAAACCGGAGTACCTGGGGAAAACCCAAGCAAACACAAGGAGAACATACAAAGTGCACACAGAAAGAGCACTGGTCCAACCCGGGGATTGAAGCCACTGAAGCTGCATAGGGTGACCAGACGTCACCGATTTTCGGGGACAGTCCCCGTTTTGGACTAACTGTCCACAACCAAAGCTATCCCCGAAAATGTCCCCGATTTGAGCGTTTAATTAATGAGAAAGAAAAGTTGCATGTAGACTGTTACAATAACCAGGTGTATAGTTGCGCACAACAACCGCTGTTACTGCAGCAGCTGGCTGCGCCGGCGCTGCGGCGCTGCAGCGCTGACGTTACAGACAGAAGAAGAGCCGCGCGTGTCGCCTTTAAAACAGAAGAAGAAGGTGTGCAGCATGAGTTTTTCAACACCGATTGGGAGAAGAAAAAAAACATCAACAGGGAGCTCTCCTGTGATGGCATATATGAACTGATATATTTTGTTTGAACTGGGCTGATCCTTGCCATGATAAAAGATATGTTCGCAGTAGGAAATTTTTATCTTTTTATCTGTTGCTGCTGTTGCTGCTGATACACTGGAATTTCCCATCCATGGGACAATAAAGGCTGTTTCTATTCTATTCTATTCTAAATGTTTCAAGTGTTGTCAGCTGTGTCCAGGTAAAAAAAAAAATAGGACTGATTGTAAGGATGGTACCTTTTCTGTGGCCCGGTTTGTGTCTGTGTTCCCTCGTGCTCCCTCATTAGTTCCATTAGTGCCACCCGTGTCTCGTCCCAGCTGTTTGTTATCACGTCTTGTCTTGTCCCTGTATATAAGCCGTCTGTTCTGTCTTGTTCGTTGTCGCGTCGTCCTCGTTGGGTCTCTTGTGTTTCCCCCTGAGTCTTCCTGGTTCCTCGAGTCTCCCGTGTCTCCTGTGTCCTCCTGAGTTTCCCGTGCCTCCTCCCTATTTTCATGTAAGTTTTGCTGCCCCGTCAGCTTGTTGTTTTGTACCTTCATTTATCATTAAATTCCTATTTTTGTATTCTGCCGAGTTGAGTCCCTGTTCTGCACTCTGGGTTCGCTCCTGACCACAAATCCTAACACTGATGTGTTTAGTTTTACTAGATGAGGACCCAAACCAAGCTTTTATTAACAAACAGATCAACAGAGAGTAATTTCAGCTCGAGTGAGAGAGAGGAAGAAATCATAACAGCATGATGAACTGTCTTCAAGGCTCAGTTAAGCTGGTTTAGACTTGACGCGTTGAATATTGTGCGAGGGTGCACGTGCCAAGGGTTCATTCAAAGTAAGATATTTTAGAGTTGATTGGTGACTTTAGCTCATATTTTCAGAGCTAGTTATGAGTTGTTTTGCTAATATATTAAAACTCAAATCAATCTGCTGGTTCCTCAGATAAATGGTATTAACTTACTTTTATATATATATGAATGTTTCTGTTCAGATGACTTCTGTTGTGACTTGGCACTATATGAATAAACTAAACTGTATAAATAAACTGAAATGAATTGTGAACATAGACTTTTAGGCTTAGGTGTGTAGTAAAATATTATGATCAACTGCATGAAATGCAGCACTGAGGTCTAACAGGACCAAGAGTTCTATTTTGTATAGGCTTCGCCGTATAAATTACGGTAAGACCGGGCAATCGGCTCCCATTTTTTCTTCAGCCAGCTAGCTAGCACTGTCAGAAGAACGAAGAAGGAAAAGATGCCCAGCTTTGACCGGCACAACTTTTGCTAAGGATGCCTGGGTCTCCGCCATGCCGACCTCCCGCCGTCCCTGTGAGCTCTTCCTACCCGAAGAGAAGCAGAGACAAGCAGCCTTGTTCAAGGTAAGTGCCGAGGAGTGTTCTTCTGTGGCGGGCCGCTACCCGCTGGACGATGCCGTTGCCTTTTCTAATATTTTTTTCTCGCATTAAATCAGATGATTCACTCGAAAAAGGCGATGTTAGCAGCAGCTCCGCTGAGTGTTTTTCCATGGAGGGCCGCTACTCGCTGGACGACGCCACCGCCTTTTCTAACGTGTTTTCCTCGCAGTGAATTGGATGATTCCCTCGAAAAATGCCTTGTTGGCAGCAGCTCCGCTGAGTGTTTGTTCGTGGCGGGCCGCTACTCGCTGAGAAGGTGCTATTTAAGAGACTGAGCTGAAAACAGCACCTCAGACTGAGGAAGTCTCTTGGATGAGAGATGAAACGTTTCTATATTTTTTTTGCTTTTTTTTTTTTTTTTTTTTTTTTAATGTCCAGAGGACCAGATTTAACTTTTTTAGATTTTTCTACCTGGATTATTGAGCATGCATCAGGATACTTTTGTTGTGTGTTTCCTTGACTGATGAAGCCTTCCGGATCGAAGGCGAAATATTTCAGCACAAATAAAGAAACTGTCCAGAAGATTTTATACCTGGATTATTGAGCATGGACTTTGTTGTTTTCAACCAGTTTGACAAGACTCTCAACAAGGAAGAGGGCCAGCAATGGCGGAAGGGCGTACCAAAGAGACCATCTTATCACAAGCAGAACTGATTTGTTCCACTTTTGGAACAAACTCGCTGTTTGAAACATTCAGAGAGCTGCTGATGCTGTACAGATGCTGTTTGGTTGGTTGCTTTATGGTGGCACTCCGGAGGAGCAGGTTGGATGGAGGGATAGTGGACCAGGTGAGTTCTGGTTCAGGGTAGATCCCATCTGAGCTGCAGAAGATCTTGTTGTCAACTTGGGAAATGTTGACAGTTTGGACAGGAGCTGCATAAATCAAGCCCCTTCGCTAATTGATTTGTGTGTATTTACTGTTTACATTATAAAAGTTATTAGAATCATCCATCCATCCATCCATCCATCCATCCATCCATTATCTTAATATGCTTCTTCCTTTACGCATCACTGAGGTCACAGGTGTCCATACCCAGCAGTCACTATGTGAGAGGCAGGGGACACCTGGACAGGTCTCCAGTCCATCACAGGGACACATCTGAGTACTGATACTGAGAAGTGAATGAGTTAGTACTTAAACATTAAACAATTACCAGTTTTATAAAGAACAGGAAACAGTCACTTGCGTTTATCTTCAAATGTCTCTAAACTACGGCTGTGGCTGAGTGGTTTGAGCAGTCGTCCTCCAATGCAAGAGTTGTGGGTTCGAATCCACCAGCAGTCACATGTCGAAGTGTCTCAGGGCAAGACATTGAACCCCTCATAGCCTCTGATGTGCGTCCCATCAGTGTTCGAATGTGATAAAACTCTGATTAGTCTCTTTTAAATGATTTGTTCAATTAGCTTTGTAGAGATCTAGTATAGAGCTATATGAATGGGTAAATGAGGCACAGATTGTAGTGTAAAGCACTTTGAATATCTTGAAATAAGATAGAAAGGCGCTATATAAGTACAGATTATTTACCATTTATTTGTACTCATTTAATGACAAAGTGGACGGGGAGATCACGTCACCAAACATCAAAGTAATGTTGATCTTGTTGAGGGATGTGCATAAATGCACCACGCTCTATTATTTGACTTTATTAATATAGACTTTATAGAGGACTTTATAAAGACTTTTTAGAAGTTCTGTTCTTCATGACGTGTTGACCCGCTGGGAGTTGTTGGCTCTTCTCCAAACTTTGTAATAAATTTCCTGAAGTCTACACGTGATTGTCTGAGAATCAGTTTGTTCCACTCAGCTCTTCAGTAACAGAGTGTTTCATGAGGACAAGTATGAGTACTGAGTATGAGTGTGAGGCTGGTACCACACACCACTAATCCAGATGTGTAGAGTCGGAGCTGCCACAGCTGTCTGTTAGAGAGGAAGAGGAAAGAGCAGCAACACTTAAGTCCATATACCTGGATTATTGAGCATGGACTTTGTTGTTTTCAACCAGTTTGACACGACTGTCAACAAAGAAGAGGGCCTGCAATGGAGGAGGGGGCGTACCAAAGAGACCATCTTATCACAAGCAGAACTGGTTTGTTCCACTTTGGAGTAAGCTGTTGGGGGAAGAATCAGTTTTGTTGTGTTTCCGTGACTGAAGAAGCCTTCTGGATGGAAGGTGAAATGTTTCAGCACAAAAAAAGAAACTGTCCAGATGACCTGACTGAAAAATGTTGGAGCAGCAGCACTTGTTCTTTCTCTCTCAGTGTCTGTCTCTGCTGGACTTTTTCTTGCTGCAGCTCAGACTCTGAGTGCTGATGTGTGTGAACACGTTACACGAGCGATGACTCAGAGTCACACACACACACACACACACACACACACCACACACACACGCTGCACGTTGATTTCCTGAACAAACACAGAGGAGGAGACATGAAAGTGAAAGCGTTTCAGTTTCTTCTGACTCCATTTTATGTCGACAGCAGAAGAACGAGGACTGAAAGCTGAATGAGGTGAGTGTGAACTCAACGTTCTTCTTCTTCTCCTCTCAGAGTCTCTGAGGGGCTTTTCTCTGTGGAGGGAAGAAGAGGCAGAACTCACTTTTACCCCTTTTCCACTGTGACGGCACGGGTCAAATATGCTCTGTTCAACACGGTTTTGAACACTTTTCCACTAGTACTTTGTGCATGTTTCGCCCCGTTTTTTTGTCCTGTCTTCTTAAGGGGTCCAAGCGGGCCGAGTCAGCATGAAAATGTGACGTCAGAACACTGTCGATCACCGATCGGGGAGGTCACTGGATTTTTCAGAAAACTTTTCACCTATCTGCCAACACCGTGTTGTAATGCTGAAGAGCAGATGTTTCTAATGCTTGGTGGTCGACGTCGACGACAAAATTCAGAGCGAGCTAGTCACCCTGGAGGATCATACAAGCTGCCAACCCGTTGAAGCACGTGAGGCCGGGGTCCGGGCCCCGGCCTCACGTGCTCAAAAAGGCCGGATTCCGAGCCCTGGCAGATGGTAGGACCGGTACGGAGGAAGGAAACATTTTTTTATGTATTAAAAACATGTTTTTTTTATCAGTGAAGAACAAAAATAAATCAACGGTGCCGGCTTTATCATGAAATCCTGTTTTCACTTTGACTTTATTAAATAATCTGTTAATTAAAGTTAACTCAGCTGAAAAATAAAAAAAAAAAGACAAAATTATTGGATCTCTCAGGAATATTTACCTCAAATACGTTTAAAGAAGAGCTACAGCCTTTGGTTCAACTTTATTCTAACCCACAGATGTACAAATCACAAAACAAGAAGTGCACTTTAAATCACTCAAATAAAATAATCTGTATACAAGATACAAAACCACATTTCTAAATTGAACAATAAAAGTAGACACAATGAGTGCAAATACACCAAATGATGAGGAAAAACTAAAATAAATATAGACGTTTTTGTAGAATCTGGTTCATCAAAGATTTAATTCAATTCAGTTTATTTATACAGCGCCGAGTCACAACAGAAGTCGTCTCAGGACTGAACAGAGAGATTCAGCTGAAAGTCCTGGTGCACCTTTTATTTGAACCTGCAGAGATTTGAACAGCTGATCTGAAGCAAACAGGCAGGAGTTCACCTGAACTGACCACTCCTGCTGTTTGATGGTCTCCTCCTTCTCTGTGGAGGCCATCCATCCATCCATCCATCCATCCATCCATCCAGCCATACATACATACATCCAGCCATCCATCCATCCATCCATACATCCATCCATCCATCCATACATCCATTCATCAACTTCCACTTATTCGGAAGTCGGGTCGCGAAGGGAGCAGCTTTACCAGGGAGGCCCAGACATCCACAGCCACCTCTTCAGCTCTTCTGGGAGGACCACAAGGCGTTCCCAGTCCAACTGACTTATAAGTAATACTTTTGTTTTTAAATTTAATGCAAATTTAAACCAAATTTTCCAATTGCATTTGATCTTTAATGAATCCTAATAAAATATTGCCATAATCTGAGCTGCTCTTATTACGCTATAAATTTTTGGATTCTAGGATGAAGTCAGACAAAAGGGACACTACCACCACCTGATGGTAAGGCCAGTTGGATTCTGGACCCCACCTACAGAACTGGTCCAGAAGTGTATGGAAAAGCGATGACACACGAGCTCATCTGAGCTGACCCAAACTTACCTGATCCATGCCGTCACAGTGGAAAAAAGGCATTAGATTCACCTTCAGGACCAGAAACTGCTTTTGTTTCTTTCATTTCCTGTTTGTCCCCAAGAAGAAACTCTGAGTTTTCTTGGTCGTTAAGCCTGCTGTTACCACGACAACAGAGTTGTTGAAGACTCAAACATTTCTTAACACTCAGTTCAAATCTGATGTTTTTACTCGTCTCTTTGTACAAGTTATTTTTGTGCCTAAGTTAGTTTCCCTGGTTTGATCAGGAGAAGATCAGAGTTGATGTTCACATGAATGGTTTGTGTTTCCTCTGCAGGTGAAGGTAGAAAGTGTGTGTGAGCTGATGTGAATTCAGCAGCATGGATCAGTGTGAGGACAGAGAGGAGGGAGTCCCTCCCTCTAAAACCACTCTGTGTGGGGAACATGAGAGCCAGAGCAAAGATCAGAGGTGACATCTCCAACTGTCCACGACTCTTCTCCATGTCAGAGCTCAGCACTCACAGCAACACACTGGTTTATTCACAGGAACACACCTGGACCTGGACCTGGACCTGGACCTGAACCTGAACCTGGACCTGGACCTGGACCTGGACCTGGACCTGGACCTGGACCCAGCTGTGTGTCCTTAAAGAGTGACTGGTCAAAGAATTATAATCCTGATTTTAAATCATTCCAGCCTCCATCAGCAGAGAGGTGAGCTGTCTCTAAATGTTGTAACTGTGTAAAATGTAACTGAGTCAGTCTGAAATGTTTTCATTCCAACATGTGTTTCATGTGAGCTCAGCTCTTTTTCACACATTTCTATGTTCACATGTGAAGCGGTGTGTGTTGGATGTTTTCTCCAAACTCAGCAGTCAAAGTGAAAGAATGGAGGTTGTAGGAGGAGTTTCTGAGTGTCTGTAGGTCACCAGGTGGTCCAGCAGGTGTCACCTTTGACCTTTGCTTCAAACACAGTGTAGGTAGGAACTTCCACTCAGGTGGCATGTGTTGCTGGATGGAGGAGGACAAATAGTTTCTGGATCCTGACTCCACATGGACCTTTAGCTGGTGTTTGTCTCTGTGTGGACAGACACAAGTGGAGCTAATTCTTCATGATTCCTCCACAGAGTGGACCAGCAGAGCTCAGAGGATCCCAGTGCTCAGTCTGCCCAGCAGCATCAAACACAGCTGGACTCCATATTTATGGTGCGTTCATGTACAACAAGTACTTTTCCATGTGTTGTGTTCACAGTCATCTCCATGCTGCACTTTGTAGACCAGTGGACTGTCAGTCTGTCCAACATGTAGACCAGTGGGCTGTCAGTCTGTCCAACATGCAGACCAGTGGGCTGTCAGACTGTCCAACATGCAGACCAGTGGGCTGTCAGACTGTCAAACATGTAGACCAGTGGACTGTCAGTCTGTCCAACATGTAGACCAGTGGAATGTCAGTCTGTCCAAGAAGTATACGTCAATCTGTCCACCATGCAAACCAGTGGACTTTCAGTCTGTCCAACATGTTGACCAGTGGACTGTCAGTCTGTCCAAAATGTACGCCAGTGAACTGACAGTCTGTCCAACATGTAGACCAATGGACTACCAATTTGTCGAACATGTAGACCAGTGGACTGTCAGTCTGTCCAACATGTAGACCAGTGGACTGTCAGTATGTCCAACAAGTAGACCAGTGGAATGTCAGTCTGTCCGACACATAGACCAGTGGACTGTCAGTCTATCCAACATATAAACCAATGGACTGTAAGTCTTTCCAACATGTAGACCAGTTGACTGTAAGTCTGTCCAACATGTAGACCAATGGTCTGTCATTGTGTCCAACATGTCGAACAGTGGACTGTCAGTTTTTCCAGCACGTAGACCAGTGGACTGTCAGTCTGTCCAACATGTAGACAAGTGGACTGACAGTCTGTCCAACATGCAGACCAGTGGACTGTCAGTCTGTCCAACAAATAGACCAGAGGACTGTAAGTCTGTCCATCATCTAGTCCAGTGGTCTGTTATTGTGTCCAACATGTCGAACAACAGACTGTCAGTCTGTCCAACACTTAGACCAGTGGACTGTCAGTCTGTCCAACATGTAGACCAGTGGACTGTCAGTCCGTCAAAAACGTAAACCCGTGGACTGTCACTGTGTCTAACACATAGACCAGTGGACTGTCAACGTATCCAACATATAGACCAATGGACAGTAAGTCTGTCCAGCATATAGACCAGTGGACTGGAAGTCTGTCCAAAATATAGATGAGTGGACGGTGTCTGTCCAACACGTAGACCAGTGGACTGTCAGTCTGTTCACCGTGTAAACCAGAGGTCTGTCAGTCTGTCTAACATGTAGATCAGTGGATTGTCAGGCTGTCAAAAACATAGACCAATGGACTGTTAGTCTGTCCAGCATGCAGACCAGTGGCTGTCAGTCTGTCCAACACGTAGACCAGTGGACTGTCAGTCTGTCCAACATGTAGGCCAGTGGACTGTCAGTCTGTCAAAAACGTAAACCAGTGGACTGTCATCCAAAAAAGTTCAGTCTGGTCCTCTGGACATTCAAAAAAAACAAAAAAAAACAAAGCAAAAAAATGTAGAAACGTTTCGTCTCTCATCCGAGAGACTTCCTCGGTCTGAGGTGCTGTTTTCAGCTCAGTCTCTTAAATAGCACCTTCTCAGAGTGGATCAACCAATTTGCTGCTGACAACCAAAACCAGCTGATCACATGCTCATGAAGGACCATCAGCCTAACAATGGATCATTAGCACGCTGATGGCTGTTTACTATTCACAGAGGGCTGAGTGATACTAGCAATCACAGCATTGTAAGAGGGGGACAGTTGAACCCGGAGGCCTCCACCCCTGTTTAATGATGGACGGTTTCTTTTCACAAAGATGGCCTCCTTTACTCCTCTCTCAAACCATCGTTCCTCTTTGTCCAGGATGTGAACATCTTCATCCTTGAAAGAGTGACCGCTGGCCTGGAGATGAGTGTAGACCGCAGAATCCTGGCCTGATGATGTTGATCTTCTGTGCTGGGCCATCCTTTTGGCCAGTGGCTGTTTAGTTTCCCCGATGTAAGACTGATCACAGCCCTCCTGACACTGAACAGCATACACAACATTACTCTGTTTGTGCTGGGGGACTGGATCTTTGGGATGAACCAGTCTTTGCCGTAATGTATTTTGGGGTTTAAAAGCCACTGGGACGTTATGTTTAGAAAATAAACGTCTCAGTTTATCTGAAACTCCCTCAACATATGGAATGACCACTGGTCTGGGTCTGGGTTCCTCCTTTTCACCTGATGGCTGACTGGAGTCCTGTTTGGGTTTCTTCTCTGCTTTCAGGAAGGCCCAGTTAGGATATCCACATTGCTCTAGAGCCTGTTTTGTGTAGGATTTCTCCTTCTGCCTGGCTCCCGAGTTAGTGGGGATGCTGTCTGCTCTGGGATACAGAGTCCTGATGACTCCTAACTTGTGCTCCAAAGGGTGATGGGAGTCAAACTGCAAATACTGGTCTGTGTGGGTGGGTTTGCGGTACACCTCGGTTTGCAAATGTCCTCTATCAGAGACTGAGACCTCACAGTCCAAGAAAGCCAACTTGCCATTTTTTACATCTTGTCGTGTGAACTTGATGTATTTATCCACAGAGTTGATGTGGTCAGTAA